CTGATCTTCGATCTCTGACCCAAAGGAGTAACCTAAGTGGATGTAATTAGAGCATTCGGTAATGTTCGTCTAATTAAGATGAAAGGGGCATCAAGCACTTTTCCGTTCCTCATGAACATCCTCTTCGTCAGACTCAAGCTTGAAGCGATCTTCTTACACAAGTAACTAGATCATCATGCGTTGCTTTCGTGATGTTTGGAATAATCAGGAATATGTCATCAAAGAAGGGAAGATGGTGTCGAACGTCATTCATTCCCACATCATCCCATTCTTGCACGTATGACTTCTCAAGGGCAGCGCTGAGAGGAGCGAAATATTATAGGGCATTCGAAAAAATTGCGACGATGGTGCAACCGTGCGCTACGCATGCACTTCCTCATTTTCTTGGTTTCTATATCCTAAATGTTTCTTCTGCTTATACATGACAATATTTGGACACTGAAAGTGACTGCACTGAGCGTTGAGGTAATGCCTTTTTGTACGAGTGTTTTATGTTACTGTGGGCGGCAAAGACTGCAGTAAAAAATACTGTTAGAATGTTATAAATGACCCATACCTTGTACACTGCCCTTTTTACTTCGGTGTTGATGTCCCTAAAATGGTGTAATGCAGGTTGTGAAGCCGTTATAGCTCGGTTCGATCTTGGTGTACCGAATAGAACACGATTCTCAAGTGTGGCTCCACTTTGCTCGCACGGCGGTCCTTCGTCTGGATCTCTTCCTATCCTATCAAAGATTACTCTTGAGAGTTATCAGACTACGAACAATGATGCAGGCGCGCCGTTGACGATATCGTATCAGATATCTCGATTTGTAACTTCCCTATTATGTAAGGAGACATAAATCTAATTATTGAGGCGTTCTCTTCGCAAATGTTTGGAAACAAGGAAATACAGCAAGAAGAAATTATCAAGCAATTGTGCACAAAATATGCAGTTAGCCCTCAGGTTCGCAATTCGTTTCCTGCATACATCGAAGCGTTTTGAACCGAAAACCGTTGCTAGCCTTAATTTTCTCAGGTGATTCTCTACGCATTTGCTGTGAACTCTGGAGTAGGAATCATTCCACAGGCGACAATTCCAGCATGGATATTAGAAAACATGCACAAAGTTTGTAACTGGCACTTGTCCATCGGCTAATTGTCGAGTTTCTTCGATTCTAGGTAGCAGCGATTTCCTTTTCGGAAAAGGAACTGAAAGCTATGCATAGTCTTGACCGAAACACTGCTTTCTGCCCAGGATGCTCTCCATGGAGATGCCTCTAACCTCGAAACTAAGCTACGTCAGACTACCTGTAAGCTAATGAAGTGATACAACTTTGCAAAA